CCACACGTGGGCTTTCTATGGCAGTGGGCCCCAGAGTCACCAGAGAGTCGGAGGGAGCACCGAGTGGGGCAGTTGGACGTGTTGGCCCCAGAAGGCAGGTTATCCAGGGCCCTGCTTTCATTCTCTCGTTTCCAGCCTGTTTTTGTAGATTTTGTGCCTATATCACCAAACTCTCTTCTTGGGTCTTAGTTTTCATTTTATTTTCTTTGATTGTCTAATAGTTGTCTCCCTTCTCAGAGGTAATGAGGTGACAGCCTCATTAAAGACCTCAGCAAGAGTGAAGGCCTTCAAGTCAGATCTCCGCTTCTGCCTGGCTTAACCTCAACTCCTCAGTTCTCCGTCTGGAAAAGGAGATGATGAAAATAGAGGCGAGGTCCAGTAGGCTTCGGAACACATAGAAAGAGCTAGGGTTCAATAATCATCATCATCATCATGATCATCATATTGCAGCTAATCTAATTGATCAGTTATTATACTTCAGGCTTTATTTGTATTATCTCTAAGTCCTAAAAGCATCAGAGGAAGGTCCCCATTTTGTGTAGCGAACTGAGGCACAGACTAAGGGACTGTGTGCGGGGCAGAGATGTGGTTTAACAAAGCCCATCCGTGTTGAACCATTAAGTTCTTCTATGATTGTGAGATGATGTATCAAAAGCACGTACAAGTACCTTCATAACGGTAAGTGCCCCACACAGGAAAGCTTTTCATTAATTTTAGGGTTGCTTGTCGCAAAATGCTTACCTAGACTTTTGTTGTGATGACCAAGTTCAGCTTTCAACAAGGCATATTAAATTCTGTTATTTTTAGAAGTCTGGTCACCGTTCACGGACTCCGAAATAAATGCAAGGCGTTGCGTAATTGCAATTATATTACGGTGCAGCACACGCTTAGTCCATCAGAGGGTCATCACTTCCATCAGGACTTAAAGGAAAAGATGGCGGTGGCAGAGCGGGGGGGCGGGTAGGGGAGTGGGGGGACGGCCGCCGACTCCCAGCACTAGCTTCACCGGGAGGCCCGGGTCCCCGCCGGCCGTCGCCACGTGGGAGGTCCCGCCCCCTGGCCCCGCCCCGCCCCGCCTCCGGAGCCGCGACGCCTGCGCGAGCTCCCCAGCCGGGCTCGGCCTCACGGAGCACGCGCACTCCGCCGCATTCTACTGGCGAATCCCCGCGCCTTGCCGTGCTCTGATTGGTGGATCCGGAGCTCGCGCTGGGCTCCTGCAGATCTACCCGCCGGGAGCAGAGACCGGGCGGCGATGGCGCGGTGAACTCGACCGCTGGACTCTGCAAGGGCAGGCAGGACGGCGTCGCCGCCACCCGGGCGCTTCAGTCCAGGGGCTGAGGCAGCTCCCGTCGGCCCTGGTTTCTCCGCACCCCTCTCCGCGACCTCGGTTGGGCATGTTTTCCAGGGCCCAGGTGAGGCGGGTTCTGCAGTGGGTGCCCGGAAAGCAGCGACTCGGCGTCTACAGGTTTCTGCCCTTCTTTTTTGTCCTGGGAGGAACGATGGAGTGGATCATGATTAAAGTGCGCGTGGGCAAGGAGACCTTCTGTAAGTGGGCATGCAGCAGCCTCCGTTTCATTTCAGGAAGGCAGGAGGTGGCATGGGGCCTTTTCCCCTGGGAGGTCGTCATTCCCAGGTTGCAGACCGCTCCTTCCACTCAGCGCTGAACTGCTTTTTCCGCGTCGGGAGGGCAAGTGCGGTTCCATTCACTGGGCCCTGGAGACCCGCCCGGGCTCACGGGGTCTCCAGTAAGCGGGGCAACAAAGGCACTTCGGCGTCCAACCCTGAGACCTTGCTCACACGTTGAAGGGAGTGCATGGGACTCCACTCAGGACGCTCTCCTCGCCAGCCCGCTGGTGACATGCTGTCTCGGGGACAGACTTGCTCACTGCACGGTAGACGGGGGATAGGAACCTGGGCATTCATGGAAATTCCAGCTAACTGGCCAGTCCGCTCGGGGCTCTGTAGTCCAAACCCTGGAGGGAGCTGGTCTGCCCGCTTAGCTGGTTACCAGTTTTTACAGGCAGGTCATTGGCACCAGGGCCCAGCACTGGGAACGGAATGCCGGGCGCTGCTTTGCTGAGCATTATAGGGAATGCCGGGCGCTGCTTTGCTGAGCATTATAGCTCCGCACAGGCTAGTTCGTCTCCTGGGGAGACTTCCCCAACCCCCAGGCCCGCTCTGCTTTGTCCCTCCAGAAACATGATCTCTTGTGAATTGCCAATCCTCATTAAAAAAAAATTTTTTTTTAGTGCTTTTTATTTAGTCTTTTTGTTCATCCATTCATCAGTATTTAATGAGCACTGATGAGAGGATATAATGAACAAGGCAGAGGGTCCCCCACTGGAGATGCCTCGGCCCTTGACTAGGTGGGAGAGGATGGGATCAGAGCAGGGCAGTAGGAGTAGCCCTTGAAAGGAGTTCTCTGCTGATGATTTTTCTCTGGGAGAAAGTTCATGCCGTTTGGGGGTGGTTGAAGGAGGGTCAGGGTCATGGCTGAGGAAACGGTTGTCAGGCGTCACAGTGGACCCAGTCAGATGCATCAGTTTGGCCCCACAGGGCAAAGCAAGCAGTGAGGCATGGAGAAGGAAGTTGGGTTATTCTGTGGTTGGGGCTTTGAAGGTGTATCAAGAAGTTATTGATCAGAGAAGGAATTTCAGCTGGTTTGGGCAGGAAGAGAGAAGGAGGGGTGGGGGCGGAGGGAGGGTACTCAGGGGAAGAAGTTGGTAAAGGTCCAAGGACGGAAGGGCTAGAAAGGTGGTGGTCAGAGCAGAATGAATGGATGACTTCATAGGAACAGTGCCAGTGGGTGGCAGAAGTTGTGTGGGGAAGGCAGGGAAGTGAGGGAGGCTAGTGCTTTATCCCTAAGGGGACAGGGGTGCTGCCTGGGACAGGATAGGGTCAAGGAGCCGGGGAGCTAGATGCTGTTTTCAGTGACTGAAAAGGAAGTGATGGAGAACAGGTACCAGTGCAGAGAAGACGGTGGCAAATGGCACAAGCCCTGAAGGAACAGGGTGGAGAATCAGAAGTCCGGAAAGCAGCAGCTGAGAACAAGGAAGCTGACCTCAGCTCCCCACCCCAAGTTCCTGGGTGTGGGAGAGGAAGCAGCAGAGCCACAGCTCGGGAAGAGCCTTTGAGGGGCCACGTTTCAGTTAAGAAGGATGATTTGAAGATACTCTTTTTTTTTTTAATTCTCATCAGAGGATTTTTTTTCATTGATTTTTAGAGAGTGGAAAGGAGTGGGGAGGAAGAGAAATATCGATATGACAGAGACACATGACACATTGATTGGTTGCCTTCTGCAAGCACCCTGACCAGGGCCAGGGATTGAACCTGCATCCAAAATATGTGCCCTTGATGGGAATCGAACCCCAGACCCTCCAATATGCAGGTCAACATTCTAACCCCTGACCACACCAGCCAGAGTGAAGATACCAACTCTTACCCTGCTATTGAAGTCCAGAACTTCATTAACATAGCCTTATTTAACTCATGTTTTAAATTACTTTGGCATTGAATTAATGTTGAGCATGAGCCGGTTTGGCTCAGCGGATAGAGTATAGGCCCACGGACTGAAGGGTCCCTGGTTTGATTCCGGTCAAGGGCATGTACCTCTGTTGCATGCTCCATCCTGGTCCTGGGAGGCAACCAATCAGTGTGTCTCTCTGTCTCTCCCCCTTCCTTCCACTCTCTCTAAAAATAAATGGAAAAAAATCCTTGGGTGAGCATTTACAAAATAGCCCCCAAAAATTAATGTTGAGATTCAGATATAGTGACCAACCTATACTACTGGTTAAATTACTTAGATCTTAGTATTTTTAATTCCTCAGTTTCTTAAAAATCTAAGTAAAATTTTTGTTCAATACAGATGATGTCTACCGGAGAAAAGCCTCAGAAAGACAGTATCAGAGAAGGCTGGAAGAAGCATCAGAGACTGAACTTCAGCAGTCAATAAAGTGAATATGAAATTTTTCTAGTTTCAAATTCTTTAAAAATGTACATTCATTAAAAAATACACTTAGTGTTGGGGGAGCACTTTGTGAAGTGTATGGTTGTCTGACCACTGTGCTGTACACTTGAAACTAATACAAAATAATATTGAATGTAAACTGTGATTAAAAAACAACAAAACAAAAAGCTGGCGTAGCTCAGTGGTTGAGTGTCGACCTATGAACCAGGGGGTTGCAGTTCAATTCCCTGGTCGGGGCACATGCCCAGGTTGCAGGCTCGGTCCCCAGTGTGTGTGTGCGGGAGGCAGACAATCGGTGATTCACTCTCATCATTGATGTTTCTACCTCTCTCTCCCTCTCTGAAATCCATTAAAAAATATTAAAAAAACAACAACATAAAACACATTGCTAACATCCCAGCAAGTTCCTCCTTTCCTATGCACGTATGGATGGTGTTCACCGGGCTCTAAGGTCTACATGGGAGAATTTGAACATGCTTGGAAAACTGCAGCCCATATTTTCTACTTCAGTGACATCTCTGTGCAGTCTACATTCGAGGGGAGAATTAAATTTGAAGCATAAAAACGTTCTTAGATACCTAGTTTGTGCTAGGCAATTTAATCTGGAATTTGCATTCTCTAGTTGCCAGGAAATGGCATTTCTGTACATTTGGCAAGGAGAGGGATCGGGAGTTGTGTCTGATACAAAGACATCTGAGTCAGTTTAATTTCATTCTGACTACCTTCAACAAAAGGTGAATTATTAACCATAGAGAGGTAGCTTTACATTTATAATTTCCACAGCTATTCATTAGTTTTCAATTGTTTTTTGTCATATACTGAACTTGACAACCAAAAATAAACTGGACAATTTGGTAGTATTTTACTGCAACTCATTTCATTGTATTCAATAATGGGCAGTCTGAGTAAAAGAAAATGATATATCATTTTAATGGTTGATTACAACAGTTTAGTTCTTACAAAAAGAAAAATGAAGCACAGTGGGTGTGGCTCAGTGGTTGAGCATGGTCCTATGAACCAGGGGGTTAAGATTCAATTTCCTTAGGGCACATACTGGATCCCCAGTAGGGGGTGTGCAGGAAGCAGCCAATCAATGATTCTCATCATTGGTGCTTCTCTCTCCTCTCTGAAATCAATAATTATTTTAAAATAAAAACAAAAAAAATTGAATATAATTATGTAATAGCCAATATCCTACTAGAATAACTAATAAAAGTACATATCTGGTTAATAATGACCTTTAATAAGTATTAAATATTAGTTTGTGATAATATTAGACAAATTATAGAACAGTTTTTCTTGAATCAGTTACTAATGGTAGATTTTTTTCAGTAGGCAATTCTTTTTTTTTTTTTTAAGAGAGTGGAAGTGAGAGGGAGAGACAAACATCGATGTGTGAGAGACACATCGATTGGTTGCCTCCCGCACACCCTCGATGAGGGCAGGGAGCCTGCAACTGAAGTATGTGACCTTGACCAGAATCAAACCCGGGACCCTTCAGTCTGCAGGCTGATGCTCCATCCATTGAACCAAACTGGCTAGGGCCAAAGATTTTTTTTTAAAAACAGCTCCATTGAGGTATAATTCCTATCATGACCAACATTTCAGTCATTATAAATGTTCCAATTCAAATTGAAACATAGTTTTAGGATACTGCTGTCACCCCAAAGTTCCATTGTGCCATGTGCAATCAATCACTGCCGAGATAGCATGGTTCCTTCCCAGGCATGTGGTAGCTCCAGCAGCAAGCTCTGTGGGAGACTTACGTTGCCTAAGGTTTTCTCATTTTAGATTCTCCCAGTTAAATCTGGTCCACTGCTTGTCCAAACCAGGACTGCAACATCAGGGTAGCAATGTTGTAGGTTTTCCTAGTTCATTTCTCTCCATTTTGCCACTTTTAATTAATAAAATCACAGACTTCCTCCTGGCCCCCCAATTGATGCTACATTCTTTCTGGCAGTAAAGCTGCTGGGTTTTGTGTTTTTGCCACCAGACCCACATTGGTCAAGCCACTCAATTTTTGCCACTGACCTGGGTGGGGGCTGAGAGGCTGAATGAAAGCAGCCCCAGGTAAAAAGACCACCGACTCTTGCTGTTTTTAACCAAAGTTTGAGCAGTTTTTCAAGAATAAAATGTTCTCGCCCTAGCCGGTTTGGCTCAGTGGATGGAGCATCGGCCTGCGGACTCAAGGGTCCCGGGTTCGATTGCGGTCAGAGGCATGTGCCTTGGTTGTGGGCGCGTCCCCGGTGGGGGGTGTGCAGGAGGCAGCTGATCAATGTTTCTGACTCTCTATCCCTCTCCCTTCCTCTCTGTAAAAAAATCAATAAAATATTAAAAAAAAGAATAAAATGTTCTCAATTTGTAAAATAAATACAAATAAAAATGTACTTTTCAGATCTCTTACACAGAACTGCCTTAAAAAGAACTTTTTTTGTTTTCCTATCACTGCTTGAATACCTACTTTCCTGTGTGAAAATTATTTCCTCCTGCCCTAACCGGTTTGTTTGGCTTAGTGGATAGAGCGTTGGCCTGTGGACTGAGGGGTCCCAGGTTCGATTCCGGTCAAGGGCATGTACCTTGGTTGCAGGCACATCCCCAATGGGGGGTGTGCAGGAGGCAGCTGATGGATGTTTCTCTCTCATCGGTGTTTCTAACTCTCTATCCCTCTCCTGTCCTCTCTGTTAAAAAATCAATAAAATATATATTTAAAAAAATTATTTCCTCCTAAAACATAACCATTAAATGAATCTAGTCCAGGAACTATTTCCTAAACAATTCAAGGATCAATCAGGATGCCTTTCAGTGCAGCCTGAATTCTTGGTGAAATTCTTTAGGCAAAAAATTATAACTTAGTTTACTTTTTTGCAGAATTCACATTTAATCATGGACATAAAAGTAAGACCTAAGTAAAATTTGTTTAATGCAGAGAAGATCATTGTAACCAGGATAATTATGCAGATTACATTTGTCAGCTGCCACTTTGTAAACATTTCGCTAGGGTGCTGGGAATTCCAGACATTACATTACTTGCTCTTGTGAAACCCTTCCCTTGCCAGGCTCCATTAACATGCAAGGGCTGGAGCTCTTGTGAACTGGGGTGGGGTGGGGGTGGGAGACAGGCTTCACACACCCCTCTGTGATAAAAGATACTGCTTTCAAACAGCTGCTAAATAAAGAGGCTGCTCCTTCCCTAAGAAATGTAAACGTCACAGTGAAGCAACCATAGACTTGGCTAAATCATAGGCCCAGTCTATTGGTAGAGATTTTGTAATTTGATCCAGAATAAGTTTGGATCAGCTGATAGAAAATGCAAAGGCATCTTCCCATGCTTGGATAGCCACATTCTACATCTTTTGAAACAAGAAAATAGCTACATATTAAAGAACACTTGTTTCAAAAGTTTATTTTTCATGAATAAGAAGCAAATGATCTCTGTCACAAACACAACTCTTCCTAAATTGTTTAGGGATTTGTTTTTCTAATTTTAGTCCATTTATGTTGGAACCAACTCAGTATAAAGAGCCACTGATTATCTCATTAAAGTACTGCCTGAAGCAAACTCAGAATCACTGCCCAGAGATGGACTGTGAAGACCAGTGATGAACAGCAGCCCCCGGGGGAGGAAGGTGGTTCTCAGGTGCACTTGCATCACCTCAGAACTGCTGGTGAATCTCACCTCACAGGCATTTTACTGGTTGGACTGCAGCATAAGAAAATTGTGGTATGATACAATTTTATGGCCTTATTCCATGTTCCTCCATCCCCCCCGATTTAGAAGTTTAATATTTGCTACATATAGAGAATACTTAACACGTTTTTACAAAGAATAGTTGTAAATACTAATAAAATAATCTAACTTCTATATCTGCTGTGGGTTCCTTCCCTGGTCCACCTTCCTGACTCCATCCTAGAATCACTAGTCTGAAATTTGTGTTGATCTTCCCTAGAGCTTTCTTTTTTCCCAATATATTTTATTGATTTTACAGAGAGGAAGAGTTAAAAACATCAATTAGCTGCCTCCTGCATGCCCCCCACTGGGGATGCGCCTGCAACCAAGGTACATGCACTTGACCAGAATCGAACCTGGGACCCTTCAGTCTGCAGGCGGACGCTCTAGTCACTGAGCCAAACCAGTTAGGGTGAGCTTTCTTCTATATATATATATATATATATAGTTTCTAACTCTCTATCCCTCTCCCTTCCTCTCTGTAAAAAAAAAAATCAATAAAATATATTTAAAAAAGCAAAAACAAAAAACCAATGGAAAAAATATCCTCAGGTGAGGATTAACAAAAAGGCATTGCTCTTATATGCCGATTGTAGAACTGCAGTGCCCCCTAGTGTCAACTACAAGAATGACAAGCCTAATTAGCATTTATTGCTAGAAATCTACCTCCACTGTAGTGTTGTGGAAAGAATCTGGGCTTTGGAGCTTCACTTGATCATCTGAACTGATAAAATACCTAAGTTAGGAACATAGTAACTTTGTTCATCTAGCAGTCCTATTTTGGAAGTTTTGTCTAATCTCTGATGTAAATTAATTACATTAATATCTTTTTGTAAGTTTGATTTTTCCAACTGAATAACCTCTCTTTAAAACAAAATGCACTTGGAACATGAGGCTTTCCAAAGGATTTCTCTCCTAGTAGAATATTATCAATTTTTTAGTCTTCACACGTGTGAAATTTCTTGCCATTTTTATGTACAATCCAATGAATACATAAATTTTTGGGATAAATAGTCTGTTAGGTTCTAAACTTTCCTTCAGCTGACCTAGCACACTTCCAAACCAAAAAGAAATAGAGTAATACTTGGAAGTATTTGTTTGCTCATAGTGTTTAGTTGGAATGTTTTATACATCACTGATCCAAAATATACTCATGAACAAAGATGTATGCATAGCCCTAAGCTTAGGAGAACAGAATCACAGGGATTTGCAAAGTGATATTAGAGGAAAACAGTTGGTTGATTTTACCAACACTTTCTATTAAAAGTGTGGTCATGTTTTAAGAGC